AATAAGAGTCATGTACTAACAGAGCATAAGTTTGTTTATTAACGCAAAGGGGGTTTAAAAAGCTAAATACAGATTCAGCAAATTTTCTGAGGTCACCGTTCTTTTCCTTATGTAAAATAATAGGATTTTTGGTATTGAAAGTATGATTTAAACTACTAATGTTATGTTCAGAAAACATTGTCTTAAACTGATTTGGATTTTTTTTTTTTTGGTGTGGTATGTATCAATTTTTTACTTGTCATTTTTTTATCTATAATATATTTTAAATTTAACCCTTTTTTAAACTTTGTAAAAATTCTTTTAGATACTGTAAAACACAAAAAAATTGTTGAATTATGGCACACAACAGTGTCAAAACGTATAAATAAACAATTCATTATTTATTGTTTTCTTTTATTTCGACGATTGGCTGAAAATCAACATTCAAGATAATATATATATATATATATATATATATATATATATATATAGTCCAGTCGTAAACAAGTGGTTGACCGTTGGGTTGCGCTCTCGAGGAAAAAAATAGGTTAGGATGAACGATAGTAAACACAGCTGATAGAACATGCAGTTCTGATATCTGATAAAAAATAATATTGATACATCGATATTACATGGACATCAGTATACAAAAAGACATATCAATAAATTCATATCAATTTAGGGAACATACAGCTTTTACTGAATAATTCTCCAAATAATACAAAAGCCATGTAAGGTACAAAATTTACAATATTTTTTATACATTTTAACTAGAACTTGTTTATGGTTTTAGTGTGTTTTTGCCAAAATTGCATTCGGTGATGTTCAGGATTAACACCAGCAGTAATATCGCGATCTATGGATAAATAATTTAATTTTTCTACAGTAACAGGTTCCCATTTTACTGGTAGAAAATCCGTTGGTTCCGAAATTGGATTACTAAAATATAAAAATATATGAAACATAGTAAAAATTTTGAATGTGAACTAATGACATGAAGCATGCTTATGAAAAAAAACTTACCCATATTTAATGAAATTCGTCCACATCGTGATCATCCTGTTTCTAGTCAATAACATAGTAGGTGTTTCTTTTACAAAAGTAACATATGGAGGAATTCTAAAAATATTAACCAATTCATCCATATGGCAAGCACCATCAATGCCATGATTTCCAAATAAAAGCTTGCTTATGGAATGTTCATCAAATTTATATTCGTAATAAAAAAGTGGCTCGGTTTGTTTTTCAACAGTTAATTTGACAAAATTATCAATACCACGGGTAAACCAATTGTCACCTGTGATATTTATTATTCCTTGTACATTACCAACAACAGATTGATTATTGAAGTAAAATTCTTTCATTGCTTTTGAAAGCTCCCTAGAAGCTTCAGATCCAATGGAAATACCCAAATCCAAAGGTACAAATTGCTCAAAATCTTCATCAAACTTTTCCCAAATATTTTCGTCCTTTTGGCTCAGCAAAGTCAATAAACCTTCAGCATCATTGAATCCTACTAAAACTGGTACTTTGTTGAAATTTCCGGAAAGCATTTTTGATAACGGTGTTTCGGTTAAGAATGGTTCGTGGGTTGAAAATTTTTTCTCAACAGATGGTACAAAGGGGAAATCTGTCAGTAGTTGTCCATCAAATTCTTTTGGAATTGTTGTAGTTGCTAATTCTTCAGCTGATATTTTGCCTAGGAAATTATAAGCTGCTGAAGCGTCCCATGGCTCAAAGCCTAAAACTTTGCATAGATCGAAAGCTCGCTAAGAATTATGAAATATGGAAAATTAGAAATATAAATAACAAATAAGATGCTATAGATATTACCTTTGTATGATTTCTTTGAACAGCCCAAGGATTCAAGGCAGTACCACTTTCTAATATTGCTCTTTGAAATAATCCGTTAGCACTCTCTGATAAAATCAGATAATGGACACTGGCAGATCCTGCAGATTCTCCTATTATTGTAATTTTTTGTGGATCGCCCCCAAATGCAGCAATATTTTTATTTACCCAGCGTAAAGCCATAACCTTGAAAACGATACATTTATAAAATAGTCATTTTATTTAAAAAGAAAACTGCATTAGTGTTTAATGTATCGAAAATTATTACTTGATCCATTAATCCCATATTTCCAGGAGCCATCTCATAATCCAAATTGAGGAATCCAAACACTCCTAACCTGTAGTTGATGGTGACGACAATGATGTCATGATCTATGAGATATTCTGGTCCATAAAATTCCTTGTTTCCTGATCCACTAACAAAACCACCTCCATGAATCCAGAATAACACAGGAAGGGAACGATTTAGGGCATTTGGAGGTGTATACACATTCAGAAATAGGCAGTTTTCGCTTCCTGAAACAATAATATTTAGATAATTACAACAAAATAAACCTTGAAAATGAACAATGTTCAAGCATATTTATTTTATGTGTAATTTATGATTTATGTTTTCTGAATTGAACAACTCACTCAGATAATTTTAGTTTCCGAAATGTATTGATTAAATAAAAAAAAGACTAAACAACCAATGGCGGTATGAGACTAACAAAATATGCAACTAATAAATCGTGGAATTAACTGCTTCAATACATAGATATAATTAATTTTAATTATTTAAACCTCTGAATTGTTGAGTAAGCATGTCCATTGAAGTGCAGACGTCTCCTTCAACAGTTGCATCATGAATTCCATCCCAAGAGTTTGGTTCTTGAGGAGCCTATGAATAAAATTGTAAATTTGTGAATAATGCATTGTGTTCTAAATTGAATTGCTTAAACGTTAAGATATTTGATAAGGCTTAAATAACCATTACAAAAATAATTTTACAGCATTTAAAGAATTGTAACTTTTGAAGTATAAAAAGACCTCCAAAAACTGGTAAAGGATCATTATTACAATTGAAAATTTTATAAAATTTGGATTGTATGAAGATTTTATGAAAAAATTAATGCAATTTGTTTGATAAAGCAAAAATAAATGTAAAAATCAACCAAATTTATTTATTTATTAGAAAACTAAAGTATTTTTAGTATATTAGAGTTTCATCAGAGTATTGATAAGAATCAGATGAAATCTAACTAGATCGCTTGTTTCTTTTTATAATTCACATATGACCTTATTATTTAAAACTATTAATGAATTATAAATAATGATTTACCTGAAATCTTAGTTCGTATAAAGGTGGCTTAGCATATGGAATTCCAGAAAATTGGTGATAGATTGTTTCATTTTGTTTAACGACCTCTTTTCCTTTCAAAACCCCTTGTTCAACTTTCACTAAAAGATCACAAAAAGTGCAATTAAAAATACTAAATATAATTAAAAATAATAACGTAAAATTCATTTTTTTTAATCTTTATGAGCAAATGTTATGTTTCAATACAGATTTATGATTGAGGATATTTTGTTTGTATAAAGGTCTTGATTACAATACACTATCTAATCTTGTAGAAATTTCTTGCTTGTAATTGAAATGTAATTTAGATTCATTAGATTTTGAAATATATTGATTGAATCAATATTAAATTAATTAACAGATAGTGTTGCAAGCAAAACAAAAAAACAAAGCACTATTTAAGGAAAATTTTAAATAATTAAATAATTAAACCTTGAATATGTACATTCAAGTAGATAATCTTCAGAGTAATTATTATATTCAATTTAATTTAATCGCCAAATTGTTGATGAAATAATATACTAAAAGAAGCATATTTTCTTTCGTAAATAAAACATTATTAGAACAGCACTAATATAATAATTAAGACCACATCATTCTAATTATCATATTTCTGCGTTTTCAGAATTCAACATAATTCTTTGATTGATGATCTTATTCCTAGCAATTTCCTTGATTATATTTTTGAAAATTGTAAATGATTTCCAGATTTAAAACAAAATAAAATATTAAGTTTAAGTAAACTTCGATTTAACATGCCAATATATTTTAAAACAAAAATCAAAAAAATTAAAATGTCAAAAAAATATAAATATTGAAATTAAAAATAAAAAATAAATAAAAATTGTTATGTAAAACAAGAATGAATTTATGACATCACAAGGTAAAAACGTTAAATATAAAATTACCTGAAAATATTTACTATAAACATCAAAGTATATGTAGTTTCCTAATGAAACGATATAAATTTTCATTCAATGAATTTTCAAGTTTAATCTTTTAGGTTTTGTATGAATAATATAAGTCTATTTAGATAGAATCTAGAACAAAGCTCATTTTATGAAACAAACTTCAATAAATCCATCAAAAAATTCCATTTCAGTGTTGGGAAATGCCATTTGTGCAGAATTTTTATAAATATGCTTATTTATTATAGTTTCTTTATACAAAGTATGCTATAATTATTATAGTATTTTTACAGCCCAAAATATGAAAACATACTCTGTATGAAATTTTGCTAATTCTCAAAACGCTTTTAATTTAGAAGCGAATGAGAATGATAAAATAATAATAATAATTATTATAATAAATAAATTATATAATAAATTATTGAGAAATGTTATATATTCAGAAATTGTATGTATTGTGTGTATAATATCATAATTTGACTACCCTTATAAACGATACAATGAAATTTAGGATATCTGACAATTTTTGTACTTTGCTGAAGTGTTTACTGCCCGCGAATATATAAAGATAACCAGAGTCAAAGCAAAAATATCTGAATTTGTGTTTTTCCTCATAGACCTTCTAGTGAAAAATTGTTTTATAATTATATAAATTTATTAAACTATTAATATTTTTTTCCAGCTACTTGATGCATGGAAGTTTCAGACATCACGGAAATTTTGCCGCCGCTCGATCTATGTTTAAGTTTTGCAGCCGGATTTTTTATAGGATTTGTTGTCGGCTTCTTTAGTTGGATTTCAAACTGGATCAATTGAAATTTTATTCTCAAACTGAATGAGGAATTATTTATATTATTTGGAAAATCCAGAGCTAATCCAGAATGGCATTGAAGCTACCGCGAATCGGTCTTGGGACCTGGAAGATGACGGATTCTAAGGAAACCGAGAGATTTATCTTCAATGCTCTGAGATTAGGATATAGGTAGTAATAGACTCTTAAAAAAAACTTATATTTTACGTCCTTAATTTTATTTTTTCAATAGGCATATCGATACTGCATTTATTTATAACAACGAACGCAGCATTGGTCGAGCTATAAAAATGTGGGAAAAATTGGATGCGAATAATTCTAGAAAAGATCTTTTCGTTACGACCAAGTTACCACCTTATGGTAACAGATCTACAGAAGTTGAAAGGTAAATTAAATAAACAAATAAAAAAAATTAAATCACAGTATAAAACGAAAATTATTAATAACCTTATAATCAACTATAATATTCTTGTCAACAATGGTAAAGCACAAAGAAAAATATTACTTATAAAAAATGTATTATAAAATTACAGATGCTCTATCTGTATCATTCTGGTAAATTATTAATAACAAAACATATAACTAAGTTTTTTAAATGCCAAGATTTATTCACATATAATAATTATTTTTAGTATAAATACCTGGTAAATGTTTTGCAGTGATCTAAGACATTTTTCATCTTTTTTTTTTTAATTTTTTGTAGATATTTAGAAGAATCTTTACGTCGTCTCCAATTGGATTATGTAGATTTATACTTGGTGCACCATCCATTTGCTCTACAAAGTTTTGGTTTCGATAATATGAAATCTCTCGAATGGGATCCTGGTGATTTGATTTCACATGAATCTTTATGGAGGGCTATGGAAAAACAAGTTGCCTATAAAAAAGCCAGGTACATAATTAAATATCTCATGATTAATTATAAATGATTTTTATCTCAATAAAATATAAAAGTCAACTATATTATTAAAAAAATTACCTGCATATATATAGCCATAGTGTACTAAAAAAAACACGGAAAAAGTGATTTCGCAAATTTATGCTAAAATTTAAAGACAAATATTGAATAATAGCTAGAGTAAATATGATATTTAAATTTTAAAAAAGCCTTCAATGAGAATAAATATAAATTATTTATTTGGCTTAACATGAAATTTTTTCATATAATATTTTTAAAAATGTAAAACATATTACATCTTAACGTCTGAATATTGAAGTCAATCTTGAAAAAAGAATTCTTGGATAAAAATACAAACTACATAAAATATCTCTGTTAATTTCTATCAATGAAGTTTACAAAGCTTAGTATTTCATAAACTAAATTTTATTTTTTTAAAAGTGAGAATTTTTTTCTATATGAAAAATATGAATGAAATTGTAAAATTAGGAATGTACTACTATAAAATATATATTTGTAAGATAAAAATGTGTTAGAGCAAAAAACTAGCAAATCATATACAAAATCATTAATGCTCTAAAAACTATATCAAGTTTGAAAGAAATAAGAATTTGAACTTTGATCAACATGTAAATTAATTTGCATCTAACCAAAATATCATTTTACAAAATGTGCTCTTCAACAATAACATTATTAATGTTGTTATCAATATTACTATTATTTATCAATATTTTATTTTAATTTTGTTACAGATATATTGGGGTATCCAATTTCAATAGGGCTCAATTGGAAGTTATAATGAATAATTCAAACATTAAACCTGCAGCTCTACAAGTTGAACTACATCCTTATATGCAACAAGTAATTTTAAAATTATTTTTTAAAATACAATAAATAGATGATAATTAAGTTCATGACAATATTCCGTAAAAACTATTTGAATTTGGAGAAAATAATATAAAATTTTCAATGAAAGTATTGAGCTTAGGCTTGTACTTGATCTTTTAGCCCAGTCAAAATAGACTCAAAGAATCCTTAACTTTGGAATAATTTGTAATAGAATGATTTGTAATATTTTCTCAAACAGAACAAATAACACTGTTCTTTGAAGGTTTTGAGCAAAATTTGAAACATATAGTGAACACATTATTATATATAATATTCATTGTTCGAATATTATGACACTATTCTATTCTTCAGATTTACTGTTTTTTTTTTTAATTGAAATTAAAGAAACTTATTATAGCAGTCAAATAGACTAATACCACTTACTATTGAGAAAATTAATAAATGTTACCTATCTCATATTGGTTACAATTTTTTAATTTTTTTTTTAATTTGGTATACTCCGTCATTAGTACTTTTTTATTACCAACTATATCTCAAAAAATCCCGAATTTTGAGAGCTGTTTAAGTTTCAAAAATACACATTTTTATTTATTATATACGCATACCAAAGCAAAAAGTATTTATTACGATTTTTTATAATTTTTTTTCAATTTATTTGTATTTTTTAGCAAAATCTAAGAATGTTCTGCAGATGGTTCGGAATAACTCTGATTGCTTATAGTCCATTTGGCTCTTATGGCAATTTGGTGAGCCAAGAATTTCCTTCGCCATTAGAAGACCCTTCCGTTAATAGAATTGCCACTGAACTTGATAAACCACCAGCTCAAGTAAGTAGAAAAAAATTTATGGAAAAAAATTAAAAACAATATAACAAAAAGTGCCTCACTATGACTTGAAACGTCGGAAAACGTAAATTTAGCAAGTCGGTTTTTCGTCCAAAAATAACCCCTTGGGAAAATTAATAATATTTTATGTTTTATTATTATTTTTAGGTCATCTTATCCTATCTGCTAAATCTAGGAGTGAACGTGATTCCAAAACCAAGCAATTATTGCCAACTGGTGGAAAACTATCATGCTGGAAGTATAGAGTTGTCTTTATCACAGATGAAATCTTTAAGAAAAATCGATAAGGATACTGAAGGCAGAATTTTTGACTTCAAATTCTGGAAAGGTGTCACAGATCATCCCATGTATCCATTCCCGGACGTCATTGCAAAAATGGTAAAGGCCGAGGCGCAGAAAAAAGAAAATTTCGAAGGAGCCAGATTTAATAAATATCAGGAGAGACATGACATTTAGTATCATGAATTTGAAAAAAATTGTATATGTTTATTTAGTTTTTTTTAATAAATATCTACCTATGAAATAGATAATGTTTCTGAATTGAAATATACCATATAATATTGATACCAAATATATTATAAATACAATATCTGGATTTTCATAAGAAAATATTTGCGTATCCAATAGATTCGAATTTTTTTATAATAAAATATTTTATTCTAATAAAATGATTGAATTTTAAACATGTATACATATTCATTTGTTACTATCAAAACAAAAAAAATGTATAAATAAAATTTAAAAAATCTAATAAAAAAAATTAATACATAATGAATTTCTAAATCTTATTGTTTCAGTATTATTCTAAATTCGAAGTTTTACAAATAAAATAGCAAAACTGTAAGTGTACTTTATATAATTAATATTAATAGTATTTTTTTTATTTCTGACATTTATACTGACAGACTAAAAATGATTACATAAAATTCAATTTTGCACAAAAAATTAAATTTATGAACTTGACGTGGATGCTATAACATTTATCACATATAACAATTAGAATATGATAATCTGACTACCCTTATTACGGTCATCAAATCAAATTTTGGATATAATAACCAATTTAGAAATAAAATGATAGTCAATTTTTGTCTGTCCGCAAACGTGTTAAACTGAATATGTATATCTAAGATGAAAAAATAAAAGACATAAAACTCTGAATTTATTGCGCTTTTTATTATATTAATCGCAACAAAATCGAAAATGAAAATATTTATATACATTTACGTTTCAAAACCTTCTGAACATTTTGGCATACCTTAGAAAAAATGGTTGTATGTGTGTGTGTGTATGTGTGGGCGTGTGTGTATATGCGCGGATACAAATTTTCCTCGACGATTTCAGAACCACGGGTAAACTGATTTGAATAATTTAAAAAACATTCGATTCGTATTGACAAGGAGACTAAAAAAAATTTTGGTATAGGAAGTTCGAGCAATTCGCCTTAAGGCACGATGCCATACACCACAAGTTTAGTACGATTTCAAAAACGACAGAAAAAACATCATCTACTCTCCAGAAATAATTAATAATACATAACTTTTTTTTATCATTACCTATTATTACAGAAAAAAAAATTTGCCTATATTATTGAATTTACGGATGTGTTATTCCAGAAACGCTCTAGAAATCAATATATTAAAAAAAAAAACAATTATTTTTTTAGAGAATTAACACATCATGTCGTGCAAAGTTAAACCAAGTCAATTAGGATGCAGAATTCGTATGCCTAGAATTGGCCTAGGTACTTGGCGTATGCAAGATTCTGAAAAAAATGAGGAGGCACTTCATAAAGCCCTAGAAATTGGCTATAGGTTACTATTTGTATAATAACTTTGCAAGGATTAATTTCCACATTTCCTATGAAAACTATTTTATAAAAACAGTTTTGGAAAATATTCCATATGTACAATTTTGGTCAAACTTATTTTTAGGCATTTAGATACAGCTTTCATATACGGAAATGAGACTTCAATGGGAAAAGTATTAAAAAAGTGGTACTCAGAAGGGCATTCTAGAGAAGAAGTCTTCATCACATCGAAATTACCACCTTTTGGATTGAGGAGGGATGAAGTTGGCAAGTTCGTATAAAAGGATGATCTTTTATCCTTATTTTGAGTCCATTTGTTTATCTAATTATCCATCCATCTATGAAATAAAATATTTTTACAAATCGACGTGTTCATCATTATTTATGTAAAAAACGATCCATGGACTACAATTTTTTGTCTTATTGATGTGGTCAAAAAACACTATGATTAATATTTTCTAAATTGTGTGTATTTTTAACATAATTATGTAATTATTTATTAATTTTCTTTTCAGATACTTATGCATGACTCTAGAAAAACTTCAAACGGACTACATAGACTTATACATTGCCCACATGCCATTTGGATTTTATCCTCCAAAGAATTTAACTTTGGATCCATCACAATCTGGTGCTTTAGATTGGTAAAAATTACAAAAATAACATTTTAAATTGAGAAAACTATGTGTTTGCTAAAATATTTTTTTTCCTATTAGGTCTAACGACCCCAATGAGAAAATTAAATGGGATTACTGTACTGATCATGTTGATATGTGGAAGGGCTTCGAAAAGCAGTACAAAGCTGGACGAGCTAAAAATATAGGAGTTTCAAATTTTAATGTGAAACAATTAGAACGTATCATGAACAATTGCGAAATTCGCCCTCATTGCTTGCAAGTCGAGATGCATCCATTTTTGCAACAGGTGAGATAATGAAAATTTACTAGTAAAACGAGATAATGGAAATTTACTAGTAAAACTTTCCAATTTTAAAAGTTTTTATTAGACTTTTTGATAGTTTAGATCAAATCTTACAATCACGTATCACCAAATTAATGTTACAAAGCAAAATTTGGTGATATATTTCAACCATAAGACTGATAATCAAAATCTAAATTGGTAAAGTGTAAATTATAAATTATAAATATTTTGCATATTCAAATTCTTCAATTTTAATTATCAAAATTACTTTTATTTTTAGCAACATTTATCTTGCTATTGCCGTTGTAATGATATGGTGTTGGTTGGATATAGTCCTTTTGCAAGTTTTGGAAATGCAGTGGCAAAGAATTTAAAAAGTCCATTTGACCATGAATCAGTTAAAAAAGTTGCCAAAGAAATTGGCTGCACACCTGCCCAGGTCAGTAACTAATGATAAAATTTGAAAATAAATCCTAGAGTTAAAAAAATCAAGAACTAAACAGTTCTTTGTAATATATAAGTAGAGTGTCATTAAAAATGCCAGGCTCATTTTTGAATAACTTTGAGTAGATTTAAAAGTTTCTGCTTCTATTTGTCTTAATGAAAGAACAAAGACTAGTTTTATTTAAGTTTTAAAAAGAATAACTTCATTTTGCCAAATAATCACTTTTATACTAAAAAATTTTAAAGTTTACCGATCATTCTCTCGATTTTTTGCACATATCAAAACATTTTTGCAAAATTCCTTCAGGCAGTTTTACTATTACAAGTGATTTATAACTATAATTCTTAAAGATATGTGGCTGATTTTTTCCTAAAAATACCATATCAGAGTACATAACTTGAAGCTTCTAAGCAGAATAAGTTTGGTTTTTAAATTAATATATTACAAAATTATTTCTTAAGGCAATATTGGCTTTTATTATGCACTTGGGGGCAATTCCAATACCGAAAACAAATGATGAAAAACAAATGAAAGAAAATTTCGAAGCACAAAACATTGAATTAAATCTGAAGCAAATGAGGTTGCTGAAGAAACTTCATATTGGAGAAGAAGCCAGAGTATTTAATTTTAGGTAAGAAATAAATTAATAATAAAATGAAATGAGAAAAATTTAAATTAGATTTTATTTAAATGTTAGAGAATCTAAAAATTAGAGAAACACAATAAGATTCTTATAAGACATAATAATAAAATAAAAAACATAATAAGATTCTTATGGGCCATAATAATAAATTAAAGAAACATAATGAGATTCTCATGAGGCAATAATAAAATGGAAAAACAATATAATAAGATTCTTAGAAGACATAATAATAAAATAGAGAAACATATGAGATTTTCAGAAATAATTACAAATATATTTTTTTTTAAATGGTTTGCCGAGGTAATGAGTCTATTGCTTAGTACTAAAAACTTTTTTAAAAACACTTTAAAAATTATAATAAACTCTTATAATGTTTTCATATTAATAATTAAAAAAACTTAGAAATTAAATTATTATATATTTCGCTTTATATAATATATTAAATTATTATTATTCAGGGAATGGGATGGCATTTTAGACCATCCTGAATATCCCTGGAAATTACCTGAAAGCCTTAGATGCAAGTCTCATTCGAAAAAGAGCGGAAAAAAGTCAAAAGCTGGAAAAAAAGAAAAAGCGCCCGAGAAGAAAGCGAAGAAATAAAGTGTTAATTCAACATGTAAACATGTCCATATTTGAAAAAAATATTCATCTTAAAAATTGTAAAATGAATAGTTATTATATCAACAAAACTGTTTCAGAGTGAAAATATATTGCACTAATATAAATGAAAACTTTAGAAAAATTAGTGTTAATTTTAGTATAATGCATCAAGCTGATTAGTTTTCATTAAAGATTGGCTGAGCCAATTCATAATATAAGAATATGAAATAAAAAAAATTTGAAATACTAGGATAACTTTGAGATCTGATTATACAGATTTTTATAGTTTAATTTTATCAGTAATAGAGTAGTTAGTTCATAGTACATAACTCTAAAAAAACTGTTTAAAAAATAATCTAAAAATTGGTTCATACCTTTACATGCCTGTAATTCCAAAACGTTAGATATAAATTAATTTGTTGAGTCAAAATGATGGTCAAATTACTAAACACCAAACTGCAGTTTTATTCTTTTAGAAATTTGTTAATGTTTTTCTTCAATACTCTCTTCTCTGTAATATAATTAAAAATGTAAAATTATAAATTGATTAGTCTGAATAAAAAATATACAAAAATAAAACAACCAAACATTGCATCTAATATATTTATTACATAAATCAATATCTTTTGTATAGTTAACAAATAAACTATGAAGTACGTTACATTACAAATATATCACAAAATAAATCATTTTAGTTTATGACTCTATTATACAACTGTTTCTTTTTCACTCAGAACCCGAATTCCGTGTTCTGTAAATATAAATTTTATTATATCTTCATAGCTTTTGGAAGACTTCATACAACTAGTGCTATCAGATACATGTAGCTTTTCATTTCCATCAAAATGTGCAGAATTACTACCATCTTTAGTGCTATAAGTACATACCTCCGATTTTAAAACTGTATGGCCGCCTAGAGAATCCGTTACAACCTTAACGGCTTGTCCGGGATGAAGAAATTTTTTATTAGATTTTCCTTCAGTTGTTTCACCACAACAAAAAACGTTAGTTTTAGATTCTGGTAGTTTATTGGTATTCTTAGTTAAATCTTCATGTTTAGTGACTTTTTTGTCAGATTTTGGTTCGTTATTTATAATGTTTACTCTTGTTTCAGTAAAATCAGTTTCATCCATTGAATAGGTATGTGAAATTGGATGGAGCCGTATTTCAAAGTCAGATGGTGATTTCATTAAGATGTCGGCAGGAGAGGGAATGCCTGAACTTATATTTCTATTTGTATTATAAGTTGGAGTTAAGTTATACTTACTACATCCACGAGAGCACAAAAAAAAGAATAATGGTTTATCACAATATCCTAATAAAGACTAAAAATGCATCGAACACTTCAAAAATAATAATTATTTTCTCACATAGTTTTTGCTCCATAAAGTTCGTTCTTTATGCAATAATCTATCACTTTGTCGTCTATCAAATATTTTACTGACTCGTTACGGCTCAGTAGCCTTCGGATCATGGAAGAACTTACTTCATTGGGAACCCAGTTCGTTACTATAGTTATATTTCTCTGAGAACAAATATTTGTTTAAAGACCTAATTATTTTTTTAATCTAGGGTAACCAAAAAGTTCTTACCCGGTATTTTGTCAACTGATCAGAGTTAAAAATAAATTGTTCAGGATTACTACCGTATCTTGTTATGACAACCAACCCGTGATCACCTAGTATGGCTTCCAACTATGAATAGATACTTGAATGTTTAGTATAATATATAACGGCAAGACTTTATTATGCAAATTAACTACCGAAATATATATGCATTAAAAAATCAATTGATTTCTATCCAAAGAACAAAATTCTTAAAAAATTATATGGGTATAATAAGTAAAATGTAAAAATAAGGCTTACATCATCATAATTCCACAATCCTGGAGTGGCAAAAGACTCCAATAAGTCAGCCCCACATAGGAGCTTTACTGTAACCCCTTCATTACAAAACCCTTCTGGATGATTTAATAATGAAAAAGGCATCCACTGGGGTATTTCCACTTCATTTATTGAATCTCGATCTTTGAGAAATGCATTTATTTTATTCTGTGGAGAAAAAAAATAGAAATATTATCACAAAACTAATCAAATAAAACAACTATATTTAAAATTACATTTGAAAACTAGCTGTAAGTGGAATTCTGTCTTGAGGCAATTATGGCATCGTGCCTTAAGGCAAATTGCTGGAACTTCCCGTACCGTAACGAAATGTTCGAGGAATATTGAATGTTTTCAAATAGATTATTATAAATATTGTAACATTGTCTAATATTTATAAGAATTATATAAACTGAATTTCCAAGTTTAAGTTATTTGTACTAAGTATATTAGAACTTTAGTCAGAATTAAAAATAAAATCTGAATTATTTTCGATATACAAAAAATTAAAAAAAAAAAAAAAAAAGTTGAAATTTTTTTTTCCAAAATCAATTATTTTGTTAAGACAAGCAGAAAGTTCTTTGAATCATTTAAATTGGACGCTTAGTTCTCTCAAAAACTGCCATTTTTCACATATTTAGCTCCGTATCTTCAAAATGGCAGGATCTGCCTTTGCCAAAAACTATTAAACACTTCTCCCAATCATTACTAATTGAATGTTTTTTAGATCATTCAAATCGGATACTCCGTTCTCTCAAAAAGTCGATTTTTATTTTCTGCACTCTTTGCTTCGTATTTCCAAAACGGCGGGACCTGCCTTTGCCAAAAACTAATCAGCTCTTTTCGCTATCAATAGTAATCGAATGTTTTTTGAACCATTCAAATCGGTGGATCCGTGCGCCCGAAAACGTGACTGGAAATTTGTATCCATACATACATACACACACACACACACACACACACACACACACATCCATTTTTTCTGAGGTATGCCAAAATGTTCAGAAACCTTCAAAACGTCGAGAAATGTAAAAATTTTCAATTCCGATTTTCGGCCCATTACAATAACTTACCCTACGGGAAGTTAATAAGTTTAAAGACCTGATAATAAAAAGTTAAGATGGAATAATTTTAATAAACAAACAAAGTTTTAATAAACAAATGTTTAAATAAAATCTGAAAAGTAGATCAACCACAAAATGCTTTGAGAACTATCGTAATCAATTTTTCCAAAAACCTCATAAGGTTGTACAAGATAAATTGAAAAGTGGCGCTTAAAGTAAATAAAATGAATGTTACAGTATGATTTGTTATTTATTTACTTAACTAAATTAAAGATTACTAAATCTTTATTACTAAAAACTAAAGTCCGGTACACACGAAACAAGTATTTCTTGTAAGAGGATTTCTGTCAAGATTTCTGGTAAGGTGTGCAAGAATTTTGCGCCAGATATTTACTTATTTTATAATTAATAATAATTTTGTGCATTTTCAAATAGATTATTATAAATATAGGCCTAAAATGCACTAAAACTTAAAAATGTACAAACAGAGCATTGTGTGAAATGTAGCAATAAACATATACGTATCGTATCTGATTAGGATGAATTCATAATATGATTTAATCTCATATTTCTAAAAAGTAAATCAAATAATAATAATAAAATAATAAAATGCTGCAGCTTAACATAACAGAAACTGAATAATAGAAATTATATCAAGGATGCTGCCGTTGTGAATAGAGAGCTTAAATGTTAAACCTAACTGGCAAGATCGTAAAATATGTCAGGCAATATCGTAAATTATAATTTATCAAACTAATCAGGAAATCTGGTGTCTTCTGTACCGAGCTTAAGACTTAAATTTGAACTACTAAGTGGCAATATCAAATAATTACTTGATGGTATTGTAAAATAACCCTGGTTCTCGACCATCCCTCCTGTTGACATTCCCAAGACGATAACTTAATCCAGTCGCTTGACTGTAAAGCTAATTTAAGCATTTGGCATCGATGTGAGCTGGGTGCAAGTCCTTCTTTTGAATAAGCATCATGCACTGGAGAGGCTATACCTCCAATTACGGAGCAAATATTCATACTGTGTAAATAGTCCCTTGCAAGTTCTATAAAATGAATTATGATAAGATAACAAGAAATTTACTTTAATATTATAATTTCTACATACCGAACATTCGAAAATGCATGGGTGTCGGTGGGCTGAAGGAGCCACATGCTAGTAAAATAACCTTATTGCTCATGTTTTTCTTAATTGGCGAACATAGCACTTTATAAATGTTTTGATTGATTAAATTAACATTTGATCTTATCAACTCACTTAATGAAGATTTCTGTTAAACGATAAAAACATATTATTGTTGCAATAAACGAGAATCAAAGCAAAGTTTGACGTTTATTATTTAACTTTGGTATGATAATGATTTTTCGTTACGTCACATAGAAGGTGCATTGAAGCTCATTTTCCTACCGTGAATTTCTTATGCAAGTTATTCCAAATGCCATTCAATTTTTTCACTTTGAAACAGTCAAAATATTTCATTGTAACATAATTTTATGCTTAAAATTACATAATAGATCATTTATAGAAATAAATGTTGCTTATCACAATTAGTTGCTTTTGAATTTAGCGCCTTTGTTCGTACATCAATGTTAGGTTGCGCTCACACGAGAAGTTTTAATTGAACATTGGACATCACTGTCGGATATCCGCAAACGGAAATGATTATTATTAATAGTTATTATTAGTTTAACTTTTAAAATAAATTACGACTAGTGGGGCGCATGGCATCGTGCCTTAAAGCATATTGCTGGAACTTCCCGTACCGTAATTAAACATTCAAAGAATAAAATTAATAAGTCAACAAAAATGTCTATGAATAAAAATTATAAAAACTAGAATTTTCATCATTTGTTCCGACAAAATGTGAAAACTTATTACGACTAGACAAATAAACAACTAGATCTGCCTGTGCCAAAAACTAATCAGCACGTCTCCTTATCAATACGAATCAAATGTTTTTTGAATTACTCAAATCGGTAGATTGGTGTTCCCGAAATCGTCGACGAAAAATTGTATCCGCTCACACACACACACACATACACAATTGCACACACACATACATCCATTTTTTCTAAGGTATGCCAAAATATTCAGAAGGTTTTGAAACGTAAAGATATATAAAAAAATTTCATTTTCGATTTTTTTGCGATTACTATAACTTTCCCCACGAGAAGTTAATAAAATAACTTACGCATAGATAAGTAAACATACTTACGGTTAATTGAAGCAATAATAAATTTTTTTGAAAATTATTAAAGACATTGAATAAATAAAAACGCTGATCATGCTTATCAAGCCTAACATAATATACATTCGGGTTATAACCTTAAAAATGGTTGTCATTAATTTATACATAAATAATTGTTTCTACTTAATCTCTGGTGTAAAAATTAGATAAGAACTCATATCTTATCTTAATAGTATTTAAAATAATTTAAATATCCGATAGCTTGTGCTGCTGTTTATATATTCATACCAATGACAGAAAATGCAAAATTATATTATACAAAGTTTTCAATGCAAAATTTTACATAAATCCATAATTATACAAAATGTAGATTATTTTAGTTAGCCAGCTTTCGGGCAAAATGTCTTTCAAAATTTCAAGTATTCAATTTTTATTAGTATGTATAGGGATTACATTTTTCTTAACTTGTACAATAAATCTATTCACAAAGTTCGACAACTGTAATTGTGCAAATGAAAAAGAAATAAAACAAATTATATCAAATCCTTATACCAATTTTAAGCCAATATTTCCTCATAAACTAGCAGTATTAGTTCCTTTTAGAGATCGCTTTGAAGAACTTTTAGAATTTGTTCCTTACATATCAACATTCTTATTCAAACAAAATATTGCACATCACATTTTTATTCTAAATCAAGTAGATTCATATAGATTTAACAGAGCGTCTTTGATAAATGTTGGGTTTTTAGAAACATTAAAAGATTATGACTATATAGCGATGCATGACGTCGACTTGCTTCCTTTAAATAGTAATTTATCCTATAAGTATCCTGAAAAAGGTATTACATTGGGTTGAATAATTATTTATTTATGTTAATTTTAATGTATGTTGATTTTAAAGGACCTCATCATGTTGCTGCTCCATCATACCATCCAAAATATCATTATGCAACATTTGTTGGTGGAATTTTACTTATAAAAAGAGAACACTTTGTTCTTGTTAAAGGTATGTCTAATCAATATTGGGGATGGGGCTTAGAAGACGATGAGTTTTATGTTAGAATAAAAGAAGCTAGTCTTTCAATAACAAGGCCAGAAAATTTAACTACAGGCACCACCAACACATTTAGGTAATAGAAAATCACTATAATTATTTATTGCCTTTTGATAATTGTTTAATTTCTTTCTCCCTATTTTAGGCATGTTCATAAAGCAGAACACAGAAAGAGAGATACTGCCAAATGCTACAATCAAAGAGAAGTTACGAGAAAGCGTGATAGAAAAACTGGATTGCACGATGTGCAATATCAAGTTGTCGACCGTAAAAAAATTACCATAGAAGATTTCAGCATAACAGTTCTAAATATAAAATTATCCTGCAACAAATCTCTCACACCTTGGTGTGAATGTCCAGATAATAAGAGCAATGCAAAAAAACCTGTAAAGACAAATTCAGACATGACAAAGTAAAATTATAATTATAATTTTAATATATTAATCTAAATATATAAATCTGTGTTTTATTTATCCCATAACAATCACATTTAAATAATTCAAAATAAAAAAAGTATTAAAACAAACATACAAACATCACCGCTCATTTTACATTCTAACTTTTTGAGAAATATTCCTGAGATCCTTTAGGATCTGGTTTAATTGTTGCAGGATTTGTTTCAGGATTCCAATTTGCTGGACAAACTAGAAAAATATTTTCAATTAAAGAAACTTAATAACTACTTGAAACTTTTAACCTTAAAAATAGTTATAAATGTTAAAAAAGATATGAAATCTTTTTTTCAGCAAATTAATATTTTAATCATAAAACTTACCTTCGCCGTGTTCTTCCACAAACTTGAATGCTTTTATAATTCTTAAAGTTTCTTCTACTGATCTTCCAACTGGTAAATCATTTACCGACATTTGTCTCACCAAACCCTGCAACATAAAAATATTGAGATAAATAGGGAATAATATCATTTTTGCTTATCATATCCTAATAGACAATAAAATTGTTAAAATCTTATGCTTGTAAAAAGTAAAAGTATCCATATTTACCTCCTTATCGATAATGAAAAGACCTCTCAATGCTATTCCATCTTTTTCAAGTAGTACACTATAGTCTCGTGAAATTTGTTTATTGAAGTCCGAAAGTAATGGATAATTCAAACCACCTAAGCCGCCTACCTATAATTGTAATCAATTATTGAAAAAATGGAATTTAATATCAAATTCAGCTCAATATGAATTTCAATGCAAATTTTATATATAATTAATATAAAAATAAAACTAAAATTATAATTACTTTTCTATCCATGTTAATCCATGCTAAGTGGCTAAAATGTGAATCCGTTGAGCATCCAACAACCTCAGCACCGATTTCCCGGAACTGGCCTATTGCATCACTATAAGCACGAATCTCCGTTGGACAGACAAAAGTACTAAAAGTATAAACTAAATTAGAATTGCATAAATGATAGATAATGTTATATCAAATAAAATTTCATGTAACTCACAAATCTAAGGGGTAGAAGAACAATACCAAATATTTGCCTTTATAATCTGTTAAGCTGATTTTCTTAAAATCACCATTGACAACTGCCATACCTTCGAAATGAGGGGCTGGACTTTGCACCATCGGTGCTAGTAGTCGGCTTCCTATTTCTCATAAAAAATAATTTTAAAACTAATAACCAAAATTTGTTTTAACATTAGTTCCTTTTGCATGCAAAATATAAATAAAGATCCTAATATTTGTATACGGTTCACTATTATAGTTCAGTATTTTGTTGATATTGGATAACCATTTAAAATCTGTATATAATATTAAAGTTTACATAAAATATCCAGAACAATAGTATCAAAAGCTTAAAACTATTATCAAAATTACTGTTGGAAACAGACAATTACAATTTATAATAATTTGTTAGGTTACATCGATTAAAAATTATTTTGAATTAAATAAATACCTGTGTGCAAATAACATTTTTTTACATTATCACAAACGACTCTTCCAGTATTGAAGTTAATCTGAAAATAGAGGCAAAACATTCATGGTAAAATTGATTTAACACTATTGCATATAGCATAAAAGTCATATATAAATACTTTAGAGAGAATTTTCATAAAAGTCGTCATTCTGTTACAATAGTTATTGGAGAAAGTGTGAAAAATAATTTATGTTTTGGTGTATCACGATAAATCAGTACTAAAAATTTACATTCATTAAACTAAAAATTTTAATTATTTAGGAGAGCTGGCATTGCGTAATGTCATTTGAATGTTGGTCCCAGGGTTGCCATTGTGGAATAATTTAAAAAATCTAATTTGTAGCGCGCGATTCAAATAATTAAACAATAAGTGTGACTACATTGAAACCAATGAATATAAACAAGCTATATTTATGTTTATACATAAAACTAAGTAATGTATATTTACCAGATCATACAAATTGAATAAACAGCAAAAAAACATATTATTACTTTATAACAAATCATATTGAATTATTGATAAATATATCACAATTTATTCAGGCAAGAGATATGCATTTAGGCATTATACACATTTATTACAAATAATTAATCATAACCTGATATCCTTCAAACTCAATTGAAAAAAACATGATTAAAACAATTAAGGAACCATTTTTTACTCTACTAACCTTACAAAAATAATAAAGTACATATAAAAACTAATGCTAATTCATGAGCATAATAGATCACTAAATCATTTACTAGGCGAATACTTTTCCCACTTTCTGTGATTCAATTCCTCAAAATTATCACAATGAATAGCTATATTCTTGAGATAAATAGCTAGATATAAAAGTTCTTTATCTTTATCTCTATTTTGATGAGCATTTCTAAATGCACGTATTCTCAGACCAGATTGTGGGTTCATTAAAAAATTTCTGCGAATATCATCAAACATAATAGTGTTTTTTGGAGAATATTGTGAAAATTTTCCCCATATCACGGCAAGTGGTTTTACCTGGAAAAATTATAAAATAATTTTGAAGACATACTATAAAGGAATTTCTTTAGTATCATATTTAAAGTTTTTTTTTCAATAGTTGAGACATTACTAGTATTTTACTTTTGATGTTGATAAATACTACATACATCAACAAGTCCAATTTTTGGCAAATCAACACTTATCATAGCACGTCCATCAACATGGCACATTATTTTATAATCTGGATTATTGCTAACACCTAGTAATTTCATTTTTTCATCTATCCACTTCATTCCAGTTGCAGACCAAATAATAATATCATAATCCTCATAGGCACTTGCAAGAAATTGATGTAAGTATGGTCGCATCAGTTCTAGAGCTAAAAGTTAAATTCATTTTAATAAATTGCTATTAACACATGATAACAATTTTGTTTGATATCAATATTTATCATTACCAGATTCTGCAGAAGATCTATGATCAAACAAAGTGTAATCAATATCAAGTACTAATAATTTCTTTCCTGGTCTTGGTTCATTAATAATATCGATTTTGTACTCTTTAATTCTTTTATCAATTTTGGCTTTGTATATATCCCTATGTTCAATTGGTACTTCAACCTCTTCAATATCGAGATCGCTAAGAACTTCGGGTATATCTGTAGGAACTTTAGAAATATTTGCAATGTCTTCTTCTAATGATCCCATGAGCATCAACTTAAAACCAGGTTTGAACTTGAAACTATCGAGAGTTGCATCATCCGTTGGAGTTTTACCTGTAAAAATATATGTTTGTTTAACAAAATTATAATATTAGAACATATTATGCTTCATAATAATAATAACGTTATTATATATGTTTCATGCAATTATAAAAGGCATATTAATAAATATATATAGGTATATGTAATATTATGGTGCTATAAAATTAGTTAAATGTGAAAAATGATGTAAAAAGACTATTATGCTTGAATAAATGTAAATAAAAATTGTTTGTTATATTAGTATTTATACCTAACATCAAATGATACCTTTTAATTTCAAATTAAGTAGTTTTTGTCTATCAGAACGGACACCAGTTTGCTTCTGTATGGCATCTTTCAAATCAGCAACAGTATCATTTTGGGACAAATTTAATATTTCATATTCCTTCCCGTTCCATTTTACGATTAATTTTACTTCGCAATCCATACTTATAATAATTTGTACTTAATTTGTACACACGTATTTTGTAATTCTTTCCAACCAATGTAAACTTGCACTCCAAATGTAGTAACAAAAGTAGTCTTTCGAAATTGTTTCAATTGAGTTGAAATTTATTTATATATATTTATTATGCTAATATATACATTGAGCATTATTGGTTGTTTAAAAGTGAGTAATAATTCTTATTTATTTCATGTCATTTATGTTGATCTGTTCTGTCAAGCTCAAGCACTTATTTGACAGATGATATGAGGACAGATGACAGATGATATGCAAAAATGATATGAAGTTAGCGGCAAACTTTTATATTTTGCGGATTCAAGATGGCGGACGCGGATGTTGATGAAACAAATCCGATGAAAAACAACCCCGGCTTGAAATTTCAATTTAAATCAAAATATATGAGCAAATAACAGTGTTTGGCACTATAAATATAGTAACAGTAACGAAAAACATAATTTATTAAATACTATTTGGTCAGTAAATAAAAATTACAACGACCAGTATAATTGATTAATCATAGATATTAAAAAATCTATTTTTATTGATCGGATATCAATTTTCACTTTAACACATTTTAATATTCAGTAATATAAATCATAAACATATTTGGGAAATATAAAATATTTGAGTAAGTCGCTTACTAGCCTTCGTCTAACTTGTTTGTGCATTTTTGTATCTCTTTTATCTATGTTTGCATGTAGGATTCAATGTCAGAGAATTTACTACATGAGCTGTCATTTGTGTTCATATTTTTATGATTATTCATCTTAAGTACATAGTTCGATAATTTTATACGTAATTAGGGATCAATATAAAGTCTATTTATTAAATTATTAAACTGGTGATAATCTTGTTAAGCTTTTATATATTTCCATTTCATCTATTTCAACAAATATTTGTCGGCGTAAGAGATTAAAATTTTATAGGTTATGTCGAGTTAATTCACAATTTAAATTGATTTTGCTAGTTAAAACAATTAAATTAAAATGTTAATATTTGAGTTTTTACTATTTTTGTGGTCTATTTCGTGGACGAATTTTGTTGCTGCACAATGGAATACAAATGATTACATGAAAAGAGAACATTCTTTAGTGAAACCATATCAATGTAAGTAAAAAATTAGATATAGTCAATGTAATGGACAGAAAATGTAATATTAATTTTCAGCTCATATTTCTATTCATAAAAATATTAAAAATTTTATATAATACATGTTATAGACGGAAAATCAATAAAATATTTATTTTGTGTTGAAATTCTAGCATCTGGTATGGCGATACCATATTGGGAATTTATGGGCAGCACAATGGTTACCACAAATTATGTTAGAATAACGCCCGATCAGCAATCAAAAACCGGAGCAATATGGAATTCTGTTGTATGTATAAATTTCTTAAATTACATATTTGTAGGAAAACCTAACTTTAATAATTAACTTGTTTACTTCGATGTTGTTTTATCATTTAGCCATGCCAAACTCGTAACTGGGAATTACAAATACAATTTCACGTTCATGGGAAAGGCAAAGATCTATTTGGAGATGGAATGGCAATATGGTACGCAGAGCAAAAAATGATTCCGGGACCAGTTTTTGGAAACATGGATTTCTTTAGGGGTTTAGCTGTTATATTGGATACTTATAGCAATCACAATGGAGCACATAATGTAAAGCTGTCAAAATTACATTTTTAAAATTTTAATTAGAGTAAATAAATACAACTTATCTTTTAGCATCAACATCCTTACATATCTGCGATGGTAAATAATGGTACATTACATTATGATCATGATAGAGACGGAACGCATACGCAACTTGCAGGCTGTGAAGCTAGATTTAGAAATTCAAATCATGATTCGTACATACGTATTCGTTATGAAAATGATGTTCTTGGTGGTAAGACTTATTTCTTATAAATATTTGTCTGTGTAGAATGTCTTCTATATATTCTTTACATATAATAAGAAATTTCTCTGTGTTTTAAAATATTTAGAAGTATGAGTTAGAAAACATAACTCATATTTTATTTATATGATAATCAAAAAAATGTATATCTTGAATTTTAGTGGCAACTGATATGGAGGGCAAAAACGCGTGGAAAGACTGTTTTTCAGTAGAAGGTGTAAAGTTGCCAACTGGCTATCATTTTGGAGTATCTGCGACCACGGGAGATCTTTCTGATAACCATGATGTACTTTCCTTCAAACTTTACGAATTGGATCCACCTGACGTATGTTGATAACTCATACATAACAATATTAAAATATATATACACACACACACACACATATATATATATATATATATATATATATATATACATATATATATTTAAATATAATTAAAATTATACTTACCAAATATTTGCTCCAACATCTCAACTTTTATGTCCATAATAGCCCATTTTTGTGTAGCATTTGACGAGCCACTATTTTAATTCATTTAGCATTTAATACAAAATAATTTATACCTACAAAAATACAAATATCTGTGTTATTATATAATTGTCTATCCTATAATTTTGATTCTTTTTTTAGGCTAAAGATCAAGAAGACAGGTCAAAAATAATGCCATCTGCTTTACTTTTTGAACCACCTCGTGATCATACAGAAGATCCAAAACCATCAAGTTTATCAGGACTTAAAATATTTTTGTTGATGCTCGTTGGAGCTATAGCTTTAATAGTGTGTGTGGTTCTTGGAATAATGTTTTACCAAAAACATAAAGAAAACAGCAGGAAAAGGTTTTATTAAATAGAAAATAAATATTTTCTGTATATCATGTGTATTATAATGTATAAATATTTCGATGTATTTTTTTTAAAGAGAGCTATTAGTTTTAATGAATTTTAATAGCATATGCTGAGCGTTGAGAAATAACACTTAAATGTAAGATTTTTAAGATGAAACGATTGTATCCTTTGTCCATAGACTGAAACTACACGTAATTAACAATGGTAGAAACTATAAGATTTATAAAGTGTGGTATTTTACTAAATTATTGTTTTTATTTATTATTATTTGATATAACTTATGAGTTAAAAATAAACAATAATTAAAAAAATATTTTAGGAATAGATTTTTATTAAGCATAATTGCCTTTACAGTAGATAAGCTCAAGTAATATGTTATATGTTATATGATGATAAGCTTAAAATTCACTTCCACTATGTAACCTAAGCAATATGTATAATACTATTAATTTAACGTGAATTTTAATATGGCAAATTAATTTTGCTTTGTCATATACATATGTATATATGTATATTGAATTTTAGGTCTTGGGTTACCATTTTCAATCTTGATATCTTCTTCAAATACAATCTTTCAAAATATCTTTCACTATGGCAGCAATATCAATATCGTCACTGAAATTTTCCTGGTCTAATAACACGATGATCTCTTCCAAATACATCATTAATAAATACGGCACATTCTTGTAGTTTTCCGTCATTATCGCATTGTATATTTCTGTTTGAATCTCTGATACATTTAAAAACTCATTAATATCGATTCCATATAATTCCAAAGCAACATTTTCAAAGTTTTCAATAATATTCATCGATATCAATTGGGCTTCAAAAGGATCAATTTCTGTACTTGGGTTCATATATCGTTGTTTTGTGAGTTTTCTCGCAATGACATCAAGAAGAAGAAGGTTGCTGTTAAGTTGCAAGTTACTTCTATCTATTCTTGTAATATTGCTGGATGCACTATCAAAACCATTATTACTAGTAAGACGTGGAACTTCAAATGTATCAGTAAATTCTGGATGTATAAGGGGTTTGGTAAGGTTTTGCACAAAAGTAGTCACAGCATTTATAGGACGGCGGAAAAGTGACAATATGCCGAAACGTCGGCTTATATTTTGATTCAGTGCGTTTTTCGATTGTTTTTCATAACTATCCAAATCTTCGTCATAAACATTTATTATAGAACGTTTTTTTGGATTTTTGCCTTCTTCAGTTGCAATTAGTATTTGTTGTTTAGGTTTATATAACATATAATATTCTTCAAAATCTTTCTGCCATTCGCCCAACTTCTCATACCATAAAAGATCATTTATTTTAATCTTAGTATTTTCTTGTATTATTTTGTTATATTCTGCTTTGGGTACAAGATTCATTTGATCACTCAATTTATAGCTCAACATAATTTCACCGTCTATAAAACCCTTTCTTGCTACTTTTGAAAATTTCGGAGGAGTTTCAAAATAACTACTAAGGGCTTTAACTTCTGCACTGCGCAAAGGATCGTTTTTTATCCAGTTACTTTCCATATTTTCGGTATACTTTGCTAAGCCTTGGTCCTTATCAAGTACTTTTCCAATAGCATTATTTTGAACTTCTTTGATTTTATATTTTATATTTTCTAAAGTTTTCAACTCATGATCTATTTTGAATTTGGCTTCATTTATTTTATTATTTGTCACTTCTGGAGAATCATCATTCAAAATTACAAATTGTTGATCAATTTTAGCTAGTATTTTATTCTTTTCCTTCAAATCAATTGAAGAATCGAGGATTCTTCTCTTATTGTGCAGCATTTTGTTTATTTCATTTTGGTTTGAAGAAATTGCATTATCAAAACTTGAGCGTACAGCACCTTCAACATTCTTTAAATCCACAAATCCTTGTTTTGTAATTATCTCTCGAAGTACATCCAAATTTTTTATTTTATTTTGTGTTATATCTGTTTGATAGTTAGATAGTACGGAATCAACATCCAATGCTTCATTTATTTTAGGAATTATATCTGTATCAAATATTTGTATGTTTTCTCTTTTTAAATCTAGCTGCGTGGTCTCTATTGCCTTATGCAATAGATTATTAACTGCTTCGTTATTACTGAGCTTTATATTAGTGGAATAATCTCCTTGATTTTTGTTATAATTGATAAATTCTGCGTTTGATTTCTTTTTATCAGTCCACATAACGAGATCGGGGCCATTATCGGTTTTTATAACTACCGTGTGGAGATTCCCAGTTTTATAGACTGCAATATCGGCTCCGGTAAGATGAGTTTGATAATTAGTATTTAAATCTTTATATATGGCTACAGCATGATTTGCAATATCGTTACTTTGTCTAATTACTGATTCCCGGTATTGTATCTGTCCTATATGTTTCGCCATTCGTCCTGCGTCGATATAATCATTACTTGATGTCAATCCATTAATGATACCATCGTAAGTGGAAACATCTTTAAAATCCCACTTTCCATCTGTTGCGGCGTCCCCATGCAAATACACAGAAACTCCTAGTGTGGCCACACCGCCAAAAAGTTTTGTCCCTAGTAATAATGATGCAACAATTTTTTGTTTTTTTAACTGTTTGTATAAGTTGACCAAATTTCTAGCGTAAAATTCTTTAGAGTCTTTAAAAAATTTAGGTACTCCGGATGCTCCTATAACTGCGGAAATAGATCCAACCCAAAAAGCTGGATTATTTATGTCCCATTTTGTTGCAAAACCGTTCAACACGAAACTACCAGCTCCAGAACCAATATTGATAACTACTTTACCAATAAAAGCAAATTTTTTTAATACACCTAGAGTGAGAAACTTTTTAATATCTAAAACAAATGATTTCAAACTCTTCGTAACACTTAAAATACCAACTCCAGACGTGGCACCTAGAAACAATGAACTCCACAATTCAGGAGACTTAAAATCCCATTTTGCTGGATTCCAACTGCCTTGACTTGATGCAATTTGACCAAACGCAAATGCAACTCCCGTTGTTGCGACAATACCCCATGCTGCAGCTTGAGAAAGACCAAGGCTGACCAATAATCCTGCAGATTGTACTGCAGCAAATGGAGCAACAGCGCCAGCAATTCCTCCACCTATTATACCCAACCAAGTTGACGTGCTTTTCCAGTCCCATTTAAGTGGATTCCAAGATTTATTTGCTGCAGCTCCACCTAAGTAGGCCCCACCTATGGCCAAACCAACAGCTAAAAAAGGCAAGAGAAAAGCAAATTCGCCATCTGGATCAATAACAGACACTGGCGAATTTCCTGCAAATTTATAGGGACTAGGATATTGATTGCGTGGATCGACTTGGAAGAAACGTCCGATTTCTGGGTCATAAAATCGTGCTCTAAAAAAGTAAAGTCCTAGTTCTTCATCCCATTCCTGTCCGGTATACCTGAAATAAGTCACAATAATGATAAATTCAATCTGGTAGGTAATGGCAAATTTTTAACTTCCCGAAGGAGAAGTTTGTTTTCATCAAAAAATTCGATTCGTTAATTTTGTTGTTTTCTCGACGTTTCAAGCCATTCCGAATCGAATGAGACCAAATTTGGAGAAAGTATGTGTGTGTGTGTGCGTGTGCGTGAACAGATTTTTTTTACCGTAAATCGACGTTTTCTCAAAAACGGCCGAACCGATTTCAAACATTTAAAAGCCATTCGATGTATCTCGAGGAAGACTATCGTTTGTCAGTTTTGCGCGACGATCGGCCGAGCCGTTTCTTGTAAATCGCAGAAAGGTGAAAAATTTTCCTTCCACGTTTTAACCCGCAAAGAATCGATTTTAAAAATTCAAAAACTGTTCGAAAGATATTGATTGGGAATGATACTAATTAGTTTTTGGTATAGATTTGCTGGCACAATTTTTTGCAATTAACTGTCGATAAAATTTTTGCCGACGATTTTTATGAAATTTTTTTTTTGATGGTAGATACCTTAGTCTTATAGATTATACTAAAATATTACGGACCTACGACTAGTCGTTTAATTTAAAAAATTCGTCAAAATTTGCAGAAATTAGTATCATTTTTTGTAGTTTGCCAAAATTAGACCTTTCATCAACGATCGCCCAGAAACGCCTGAACCGATTTCAGAAATTTAAAAGCCATTTGATGTACCTCGATGAGTATTAGTCGTTTCTTTGTAATTTGGACAAAAGTGTTAAACTTTTCGTCCACATTTAAGCTCATACTACCGAATCGATTTAAAAATATCAAAAACTGTTCGAAAGATATCAGTTGGGAATAATACTGATTAATTTTAGGTGAAAATGTACCGAGCCGTTTTCTTGTAATTAAATGTTGAAAAAAAATAAGCCGATTTTTATGGAACTTTTTTTTGGCGATATATATCATGGTCTTATTAAACTTACTGAAATATTACGGCCTTACGACAAGTAGTTTAATTTCAAAAATGCATCAAAGTTTAACAGAATATTATAGTCAAAATTTGTATCAAAAGTTGCTTTTGTGATGTGATGAGTCGAATATTATCGATTTATCAAAATTTAATAGAATAGGCTATCAATTTAGGGCATACAAGCACGTGTCTGTGCAATATAATTAATATAATTACAGATAATTTACATGTATTTGAGAAAGTTCTATTGGAAATCCCAATGTTTAGATTTGATTGAAAGCGATAACTTTATTTTTGAAATAAACAGTTGAAAATTTTATCTAATATCTAGATTTCAATTTCAGTTCATGCAACCTGCCTTAAGGCAAAATACCAATACCAACTAGTTAATAAATTAATTAGGAAAAGATATTTATATAATCTATGATAAATTATCACTCACCTATAACGGACTCCAAGTCCCTTAGAATCGAGTTTTCTCATTAGCCCTCCATATGGAAGGTAATCATAAGCTGCTACTACTTTATTATCTTGAACCACCAGTCTAGTGGATCCTTCATGATCAGTCAGAACAACAAAGAATTTTCCATTCCTGTAAAATCCTAACATCCCTCTTGGTCCGTAGACATAAACTGTGGTTACTTCAATAAGAGGAATATCGTCTCCCATATTAACAATTTCCTTTTCAGATAGGACTCTGCCGATGGAATCTCTGATGTATTGTATTTCCCGCAAAAAATTGCCATTTGCATCAGTGACACGTTTTGAAACTCGAAAACCTAAAGCATCATAACGGAAACTTATTTGCATCCCATTATCTTTTATAAATCGCGTCACGCGGTTTGATACTTTGTCGTACTCTATTTTTTTTATGCCTTTGTGAGATGCTTTAATCACATTTCCAAGATCGTCATGTTCCATTTCATGCGATATTTCCCTTGCAATTTTATGAAAGGATTTTTTACTAACAGCTTGGATTTGATTGTTGTTTTTATTATATTTCATTTCATATCTTTCATAGCCAGTATAGTAATGTTTGTGATTTCCATTTGCGTCGATGTCATAAGATTCAACATCAAATTCTGCTTGTCCCAATTGTGTTGCTTCATGCTTTAGAAGTAAGCCGACGACTGAAGCAATTGTAGAATTTGAATACTTATTCAAATTATCTTTGAACTCTTTCGTCAGAGGATCTGACAAATAATTTTTATCATTCAACATATTCCATAATTTTTGAATAATCGATTTGTTAATATTTTTGGGGTATATCCAATCAGAAACCAATTTCTCTAAATCCGACGATGTAATTTTTTTTCCAGCTGAGTATATTTTGAGCAGTACATTTTCAATCATAGATGTTAGGATTCCTAAGTCTGTATTTGTTTCTTTCAAATCTGAATATAACTGTTGAGGGACAAAAGATCTGCCTCTTTTAGCATGAGCATGTTTAAGAGCAAAAGAGTCTTTATTTTCTATAATATAGCCTTGACTCTCTAAGGAGCTCCATATATCTAGTGACTGCTTTTCAGTAATTCCGTTAATGTTAGAAAATGAATAAGGTTGCAGAGGCTTGATATTTGTATTATCGATGTAATACTTAGCTTTGGTCATTTCTTTATAGTTGCCATAGTCGTACGTGTGACCATATTGTCTTGGAAATCCTTTTGAACCTAAAACATGAGCAATATACCTTCCAGATGTTCCTTTGCTGCATGCTATAGGTAGATCTATTTCTAAATCAGGATAAAACACTTTGGCTTGATGTCCCTTGTCATCTATATATCCCTTTTCTTTCAATTTATTGAAACACATCTCTGATGTTTTTGCTGATATAGTCGGTGATATAAAAGAATCCTCATTGATTGTTATATCTTGCTGATCTGCCCATTCATGCCAAGTCGCTAAAAACTTTGTTTTTGAAACTGTTCCATCACCGAATATTCGACCACCGTACGTACCGTTTGTATACGATATTTCTTCCGTCAAATACCTATCTTTTATTTTAGTTAAAAATTTTGGTTCATTATAAGTGTAATCCCTCACTAGAATATTTTTCGAGTTCGGTAAAAGAGTTTCCCGTATAATTATTCCCGCAGCATCATAACCGAATGTAGCAAATTTGTTGGGATGTTCCGGTGTTCCTATTCCGATGATTTGTCCTAATTTATTATATTCATACGTAATCACAAATGGTTTTCCATTGACCGTTTGTGGGTAATAAAGTTCTTTCAACTTTCCAAGTAAGTACTTGGATTTAATTTCCAAGGTAAGTGCATCATCAAAACTAGATACTGGTACAATCACACGTTTTGTTGAAATGTTTTCATTAATATCGAGCAAGGATTCTTCAACCAACGGTTCATTACCATTCATAGTAATAGTTCGTTTTACTGAATTTCTCAAAATCGGTTCACTAAGAGACTCTCCATAATTAAATTGTTGGAATACTGTCTTTTCAGGAAGTTTTGATCCATTTTCTAAAATAGCTTGCAATTTCTTTTTATCTAAGGGTTCTTGTAATACTCCTGTCTCTATGACTCTATAATGAAAATCATACTGGTAATATAAAACTTTTACCACTTCATTCTTCAAATTATAATAAATGGTAAAGTATAAATGATTATCTTTGAAAATATTTTCAATTTTAGCACTATCTGGCGTTTCTCTAGATATCAAATTACCATCTAGGTCATATGCCATTTTCTCAGATAAGTTATTTGCATTATTTTCATCATAATCTTCTGCATCGACACTGAATAACAATCGATCGTAATGCAAAGGTTGCACCATTTTCAATAAGTTACCATCTTCATCGACGTCGTATGTGGTTAACTGGTCTTTTCCTTCAGGGACACGTACATATTTTGCAACTGTGTGCTCTTTGAAATTCAATACTGATATAGTTTCCACCTCATTATCAGTGCTAAATTCCACGGAATAAGAAAATCCTTTAGTTCGAGGATAATGTGTAATGACATACAAACAATCCGTATCGGTAGAAAACTTTTTCGAATATTTACCATTGAATGAGAATTCTTCACCTGGTTTTGCTTCGGCTATTTTGGTCTCTAAAGAGTCATCATCATATAAGACTCCTCCATAACCATAATATTTATTCCCAGAATTGTAATCATTTATTAAACCAAGAAGACGTCCCGTTTTCCAGACTGAATCGGCACTCAACGGATTTCCATTCTTTACAAAATGTTTATGATATTGTAAAATATCCTTGTTTCTTTCCAATCTTGTTGGTTCAGTTGTTATCGACTGGCGACCCAATTCATCATAAAGAAATTGTTGAATTATGACTTGATTTTTATTTTCCAAAATGACATCTTGGTCTTTTTCACCAAATGCATTATGATAAGTGATCTTCATCCTAGGATTTTTCATAACTACAACGTTGTAAACAATTAATTTATTTATGGCGGTAATATTTATATCCACAGGATTCTCAGACAGCAAATCTTGATCATAGTACAAGTTACCATTTATCCAGATAAAACAATGACCATTTTCCATAATCCACAATAGTTCACCATTAACAGGAATATTATATGCTTTTGGTGATGAATATATTTTTAATTCTGAGTTGGTTATCTCAAATAAATTTGAAAATATTAATTTACCGCCACCAGTACTGGAAGGTCTGAAGTCAAATTTAAGCCTAATACCAAAAGAAGCATGATTCAAGTTTAAAATAATATCATCAGAAGTGTTGCTGAAGTGAATAATTTGACCAGGAGCAACACCCCAATTATTTGAATTGAATATCGTCCACAAACCGTCAAATGATGTTGGTGAAAAATCTTCAACAAATCCACTTTCTGGTTCGATCAGAATTTCGGAAGAACGTTTATCTAAACTTTTGCTTCTAGCTTGAAATTTATCCAGAATACCATAAGCGTTAACATGTGCAACATTGTCCTTTAGAACATCATAAAAATTGCGAGACACCAAACCATTGCTATGAATTACAGCTGATATTCTGTTGTTATCATAAACATTTATCTCAAATTTACTATCAATAGGTAGTAGACGTATATGATCGATATCTAAAGTCATATATAATCCAGAAGTTATAGTTAATGTCATACCTATAAAATTCGATGCATTTCTGTTGTAGTCTGTATTATTTACGATGATATTATCTAAAATAGATTTAGCATAAGGATATTCAATAACACTTTCCAAATAAAACCAATCACCAGATTTATACTTTGCCTCGGATAATATGCCATAAAAATTGTACCCACTTGAGTCAGTCAAAGCAACTTTAAAGTACGGAGTGATTTCTCCTAGGATAAAAGTCGTGTTGTGTGGACGAACCCAGCAAGATGAAATAAATGTTAAATTTTGATTTCTTGGTTGAAATGATCCACTGAATACACCCTCATCTAAGTGTAAGTAATTGGAGCCTGTGTATGCAAAAGAATCTTTGACGATATTAGTTTTATTAAATATCCACTTCTTACCACCGTTGATGGTAATTTCATCTTTCTCGTAATCTTCAAAGCCAAAATAACCAACTTCTTCATCGTCCAGTTTGTTTGGATAAAATTGTGCAATTTCAACACTTGAATACTTATCCGTCAAGGTTGAATTAATAAGCAATTTAGCATTTTCTTCTACTTTTTTCTGCTGTTCTTTTTCCTTTTCATCAGAATCAGCACTTCTAGTTATTTGTTTAACAAGACGGCCACGTGCGCTGTATACATTCTGATAAGACTTATCAGCATTTTGCATATCAAAATATTTTTCTGTTAATCCGAATTTTATTCGATCGTCGCCAGGTATTTCTTTGGATTTTTTATAGTAAATGGTACCAGCTAAGTAATCCGAACTGGTAGGATCATATTCGTAACCAGTTTTTCTAATTGACCCATCGTCGGAGTTTAAAACTAACTGGTTAACAACCGCGTTCTTTTCGTTAGCTTTTAAATTTTTAAATACCAACGAAGAAACATTTACTCTTTTCTTGTCTTCAATTTCGGTTATGATAAAATTATAACTGCTCCAAGGTGAATATTTCTCATTCGGAGGAAACGCGTATTTATTTATAATATCATCTCCGTTCTTATTGAACTCAATAATTTGCGTTGCATTTTTGTAATCGGTATAAGATATATACTTAGGATATTTTATATTTATATTTTGTATGTTATCAATTTGTAAATTAGCTACAAACACATCATTCATGTTTTGTTTGCGGTATAATGCTACCTGTGATTTTGAAGTTTTTTGTTTAAGTACAAAGTGAGAACCTAATTTACGAGAGGTATCTTCAGTTTTATGATTTTGCGTGTCCTGTTTCCAATCATCGCCAGTAAATTGATAGATTGTACTGTTAGCAGCTACATAGTTTGATGCCAGTTCTGCTAAATAAGGCGATAAATCTAATATAAATTCTTTATTCTTTTGGATGTCTGTGGTTATATTGGCTTTAGTTTCTTTAATTATATCATCTACTTGCTTATTAATTTCTTTGGCATGTCTACGATCGTCCTGAATACTTTTCGTACGCTCTTTTTCTAATTCATCTATAAACTTTCCTCTAATATTTTTACAAACGACTTTATAAACTCTTTTTATCCATTCTAACCCAAACGTGATAGTATTTCCATCATCTGTCGTCATCTCCTTAGATAGCATTTGGAGATTATCTTGTTTAACGGTAAAAGTTTTATATTTTGCTATACTTTTGTTGCCATCGAAGACAAATGTATAAAGATTTGTGTACATTTGTCCATTGTGCAAACTCCAAGAATACAAGAGTGCAATATTGTTTGAAAATTGCAAAGAATTTCGCATAAAAAAGCCTTTTATATCACTTTTTGTAATATCTTTAATATCAAACATATCAATCGTTCCAACCATATTTGAAATCACATTTTTAACTTGTAAAACATTTTTAAAGTTCCAGTTGTCGTGAACATCTTTATAACCAAAGTATAAAGAGTTATCATCGTATACTACGAATTTATCATTGTTAACTGCTAAATACATATATTTTTTATTAGTATTATACTCACGAACTATTTGCCAATTCTTCTGAATTTTACCTTCAATAATGATAACTTTAAATTCTTTGGCCACAACTAAGAAATTACTTCCAAATATTGTCAAATCATTAGTCGAATATCTGAATTTTTGTGAACCCTTAGGCCAAGTTCCATTGGATTGTTTTTGAAATATATAAATTTCCTTATAATTCTCATAAAAAGTTGTCAGG